TCAGTTTTCAATAGCCCTTGAACTGCTCAAATGGCCCTATTTATTGGGATACTGTTGCAGGTATCTAGTACTCTATAAAGGTAGTCATGCACATAGCCGTTTGCCACATTGCAATGGCTATCCAGCTGCTTGTATAGCGATCGTCCTCGGAGCAGTGATCGCACTCATAGGCAGTCTACCCAATATGCTCCGCTATAGAGTGAGTATTTCGCATAATTGTGTAAAATTTGGTTTTTTTTCTTCAAGGAATGGACTTATGAAAACGGAAGAGGTCGGAAGGTAGTGCGGTCCGGAGTGGACAACCCTGTGCCAGTTTCGCGGCGGAAAGTTGTACGGTAAAGGAATTAAGGCGCAAAGTTGCTTCAGTGGTACATCCCTTTTCCAGTGACTCCGCCTCCAGACTCCGCCTCCAAAGTCGGCCTTCCAGCCAAAAGTAATGCTCCCGGGCAAGTATCATGGAGTGGATGCATTCAATGTCTAGAGTCATAGGGTTCATTACTGGGAATCAGCCGACGGGAATCGTCCCAGCGCGCGGTCTTTCGGTCTTTTACCTCTACAGTTGTTTGAGGCTAGAGGAGGCCTGACGAATGCGTTTCCAACGTTCCCTTTGGCATTTTCTCTTCATAGACGGTTCACTTGGCGAATTTTCTTCCACATTTCTGCAAAATCACCTAGGCTTTTTATCGCGGACCCTGCCTCTAATAAAACATGCTCAGGTGGTAGAACGGTCTGTACATAGATTTTTGAAGCGAAACATGGCAGTCGCGATCCCTCGTGAAGTCCCAACCTATACCCATTTGCGCCGCTTCCGCCGCGACGCCGCAACCCGGACGTCCTGCCCATCCTCCGCTCTCGTTCTCCATTTACAAACAAGCCAGCAGTTATGAAATTCTTTTCAAGTGGCAATCGATTGATTATTTCAGATCAAATTCGTAAAAGAGATGCCAGTTCCTGATCGTTGTCTGCAAAGTCCATATCACGCATCGTGGGACAAATCCGATACCATCTATAGGTATGACCTGGTGCAACCGATATGGTGGAATTGCCAATGGGAACGGCTCAACTTCTGGATGGCTGGTTAGTTTCACTTCAGTCTCTTCCGACCATTGAATTATAAGTTCAGGTTGTCAGGGTGCACACAGTACCCCCGAAAATTGCGCGTAAGATCTGCCGTAAATGCACACAACAGGGTGCAGGGCCACGTGACTCAGCACGTGAACTAGGTTACGGGGCAGATGTCAACCAGACGATCTCTCGCTGCGAGGGTCCAGGGCTAATTTCACGGGGCATCTACCAGTCCAGCAGTTGAAGGGGAAGGTAAAGGAGGAGGGATCAGAGAAGGAAGGAAGAAAAAGAAGGAAGGAGGGAGAAAAAAGGAAGGAGGGGAGAAGCTTCCCGGTTGACATATGCCCTGAGACGGCGTGAACTACAGTCACATGTCACCGCACGAGCATGTACCTGCCGGGATTCGTGCGGGCCTCTACCCCCGGTGGCAACCTCACCCCGACCTTCCTCTCCCCGTGCACGCGTGCAAATCGTACAGCTTGTGTCGCGGTTGAGGATGAAACGTACATCAACCGGGTGCAAAAGCTGTACACGGGTTATCAAACGTACTCAAACTTGGGTAACTAAATCGGGTTACGGTATGCCCGATTGTGTGCGTTCACGACGCGACATTTTTAACTTCACGCGCAATTTTCGGGAGTACTGTACGCAGCCTGACAACCTGGACTTATAATCTTGTTCTTCTGACAATTAAGCCATGCTCGGGCTAAATTTAACGCGTTTTCAGCTTGTGTACTCAAATTAGTGCCATGTGTCCTTCTGACGGTGTTTATGACGCTTCTGGTAAGGATGCTCATTGAAGCACGTGAAAGAAGACTACGGCTCTGTGGAGGTGTCCCAACGGGAAACTCTCAAGTATGTACACTTTTTAACTAACTCCATTACCAGAAGATGTCTAGGAATTATCCCTTTTCACGTGATACTTTAGGCTGAACGTACGACTGCAATGTTGACTGGAATTGTAGCTGTGTTTCTGATTACTGAACTACCTCAGGGAATCCTTGGACTTTCTGTTGGTAAGTTCTATTACAGGATGTTTACAGTATATTTAGCTCCACTCT